CCAATGGGTTATGGAATGTGTATCAACTGTGAGTTTCTCAGTCTGTGCTAATGGTGAAAAAAGGGCCTCTTTCATTCCTACTCGTGGGCTTCGCCAAGGGGATCCACTATCTCCGTACCTCTTTATTATGGTTACGGATGTACTCTCAAATTTTCTCTTTAAGAGCCATATAGAATGGCAAATTTTTGGATTCAAGATTGCCAGGCAATGCCCAACCCTTTTTCATCTTTTATTTGCTGATGATGTGCTCCTATTTCTAAAATTTGATGTCTCTGATTGTCATAAAGTTTTTGAAATCTCGTCGACTTATTGTGAAGCATCTGGACAATTGATTAATTTTGATAAGTCTAGTGTACAATTCTCCTCCAAAGTTTCCTTAAATTTGTGTAGTTCCATTTGTGTTCTATATTGTCTTACCATTTCACACTCAAATGCAAAATACTTGGGGCTGCCCTCATTTTTGGGGAAGGTCAAAAGCGGAGGCCTATGAGTTTCTCATTGAAAAAGTGGTGTCAAAACTTCAGGGTTAGAAGATGAAATTACTCTTACAAGCTGCAAGGGAAACATAGCTAAATGCAGTAGTTCAAGCAATCCCCTCGTATGCTATGGCTTGTTTCGCTTTCCCAAAAAATTTCTGTGCTAAATTGAATTCCTACATTAGGAGGTTTTGGTGGGAAGGGGATATGGATGATAGAGGGGTCCGTTAGGTTAGTTGAGATCAATTGGTGCTGTCAAAATTTCAAGGAGGGTTGGGGTTTAGAGATTTCAATAAGTTTAATTTGGCATTGCTAACAAGACAAAGGTGGATGCTACTTAAATATTCGCACTCATTCAGTGCTTGCATTTTGAAAGGCATTTATTTCCTCACTCTAGCTTTATGCATGCAACCTAGGGTCCGAGCTTCATGGGCATGGGCAAGTATCCTCCAAGGACGGGAAATTTTAAAAAAGGATGTCAGGTGGCAAGTTAACGGTGGGTCTTCTATTCATTTTTGGGATGACAAATAGGTACCCTCTCTCCCTGATTTTAAACTAACCTCTCCAAAACATGTGGGTTGTGAGATTGAGAGAGTGGAGGATGCTATTAATACAAATAACAAGAGCTGGAAACTGGATGTCCTTAGTCTGCTTGTGTCGAACTCTGAGCTACAAGGTATTACCCCTATTCCCATTGCTTTGGCCCCTATGGAAGATTCTCAAGTCTGGCACTATGACTCAAAAGGAATACATTCGGTTAACTCGGGGTATCACACTGCCTTGTCAGTGTTCAATGATACTGTGGTCTAGAAATCGTCATATTCTTTCCAATCTCCTAGTAAGTTTTGGAAACAAATTTGGGCTCTCAAAGTTCCACCGAAGATCCGCCATTTCTGGTGGCGTGTGTGCAAAAATGCATTAGCTTTTGGAGAGAACCTGGTTAGACGAAGGTGTGCATATTCAGATCTTTGTCCATTCTGTCAATCCAGCCCTAAATCGGTTGAACATTTACTTTTTGGCTACGATTGGTTTCGAGCAATATGGTTTAGGAGTAATCTAAACTACAGAGTCAACTGGAGTTCCATCTACTCAGTTCTAGAATCGTCGTGTGCTTTGATGAAGTATTTTTAGAATGTTGAAGAATGTGATAATTTCTTTAGTCAAGTTACTTGGACTAGTTGGTTTATTTGGAAAGGAATGAATGAATTTATCTTTCACAATCAACCGATTGATCCTGTCTCAATCTTACATCATGTTCGGATGGCAAGAACAAAATTTGAGTCAGCTACTGGTATGGGCGCTAATTCGCGTCCGCAAATACATGCTGCTGTTAATTTCTTTATAGCGAACTAGGTGCCTCCGTCCTTGGGAAAGTACAAGATAAATTGCGATGTGGCTGTGAAGAAGGGCTCTAATCAAGCAGCAGTTGCAACTATTCTTCGGGATTCTAAAGGGCAGATGATTGATGGTCTCACACAGAAGTGTTGTATTTCATCCTCTTTCTAAGGTGAAGCTCTAGCCTGCCGACTTGCTTGTTAGTTGGCTCAAGATTATAATCCTGCGATGGTGGAGGTGGAATGAGACAATAAACCTATCATACATTAGTGTGTTTCTGAGGATGTTCCTCCTTGGGAATGTGGAGCAATTGTTCACGACATTAAGATTTTGGCTAATCGAGGTTATCTCTCTTTTCAGTGGTGTTCGAGAGCAACAAATGGTGCTGCCCATTGGGTGGCCCAGGCCTTCCTTCATGGTCGTCTTTCCGTTGATTGGGTCTCCCACCCTCATGCTCTTCGAACTTTGGTTAGAGTTGCTTAGCTCTATTTTGTTTTAGTTTGGTTTTGTTTAGCTCTGTTTCTCATTTTCTTTGTTAAAAAAAAAATGGATCCTAAATTTCTTTTTTATTTTTATTTTATAATTGATGAGATTTGAATTCTAATGTGATCGGCAGAGTTGCTCTCATTTTGTAAGGCAACGAAAACTATTTTTCTCACTAATTCATTACATATAGCCACCAATTTGATTTTTGTCGTTAATTTTCATTGCAATAGACTAAAATTTTGTTGTAATGCACCGTGCTCTTCGGCGGTTGTTTGTTTTAAATTTTTATTTTATTTTATTTTTACTCTAATGGTGCCAAAGCCAGTTTTTGACACAATTACAATTCACTTTTTTCATCTACACTATAATGACAATCTTTGATCACTATTCAAAATTGATGTGATAAATTTGGCAAGTTAAACATTAGCTATAGATTTAGCAAATCATTGAAAGTAGGATTTTGAAAAGTTTAGCCAATAAATTAGCTTAGGTAGAGATTTCTTTTATTCACGTCAACTAAGACTCATGCTGATCTCATACATATCTGGCCTACTTCATATATGGCTAGTCTTGTTTACAACAGATATTAAGGTCCGTTTGGTGACTTACTTTTTTAGTCAATTAGTCAAAAAGTTATTAAATTAGTCAAAAAGTCAATAACTCATATCAAAAAGTCAAAGATTTTCTTTTCTCTCTACTTTTTGCACATATTTTCGTAATTAGCCAAAAAGTCATCCTAAATATACAAGTTTTTTTTACCTACTTTTTTAGCCAAATAGCCAAAAAGTTACTAAATTAGCCTGTTCCCAAACAAGGCCTAAGGCTATGTTTGGAAGAGTTTTGGAATTGTGATTCTAAGTCTTAGTTTGTACATGGTATTTGGTTATGGTTTTTAAAAATTAATTTTACGCTCCCTTTTTTAAACTCAGTCTAAGGCGGAAAACTTTGGGCTAATCAATTGTCCCATCAGTCGTCTGGCTGGTTGACCGGATTAGTGCATTTTTTTTTTTGGCAATTGACACAATTTAATTTTTATATATTCAATAAAAAAATATTTTTCCAATTTTTTAAAAAATTATAAGTTTTGAATAGAATTTTGAGTTGTGTGTTTGATTATGAGTTGTAAGTTTTTGTATAAAATATCATATGTGACATAAAAAACTCTCTACTTTTTCAAAACTCATTCACCAAACAAATTTTTCACACTCAAATAACAATTCCAAAACTTACAAACTCAAAATACAATTATATTCTCAAATTATATTTAAAAAACTCTACCAAACACAACCTAAATGTCTTCAAATTTATTTTGTTTTCGTTTACGCCCAAAAATAAGTGCGTATGAAATGACTTATATGTGTTTCTATTACTTTTTATTTTTATTTTTTATGTATATAAAAATAGAGATTCTAATTGTTGTACTTAGGCCTCGTTTGAGAATATATTATTTTAGTAATTTTTTATTTTTTTTACCTAAAATATGAGATAAAAAAATTAATATGTTTGGAATAATTTTTAGTTTTTTTCCGAAAGATGTGCTAAAAGTATAGAGAAAAAATAATCGTTGACTTTTTAGTATATGTTATAAGTTTTTTTTATTTTTTTAATAATTTTTTAATTTTTAAACTAAAAGTGTTACATGCCAAACAAAACCTTAGAAGTGTAACTCTATTAAAAAAAACAAAATAGTCGCATGTAAAGACATACTCAGGCCTCGTTTGGGAACATGTTAATTTAATAACTTTTTCGCTATTTGACTAAAATATGAGTTAAAAAAAACTAGTATGTTTGGGATGACTTTTTGACTTTTTACGAAAAGATGTACAAAAAGTAGAGAGAAAAGAAAATCTTTGACTTTTTTGTATGAATTATTGATTTTTTGACTAATTTAATAATTTTTTGACTTTTTAACTAAAAATAAAGGTTCCAAACGAGGCCTCAGATAAAATGGTTCAATAATTCATGCGTTTTCCAGTTATTATTGTACTACTATATAGTAGGTACTGTATGTCATTGTGTGACATAATGGTTGTATGCCCACAACCCATGGTTGTCCCATGCTTGGATGCTTGGCTCATTCATTTCTAATTTTATCAATTGCAAAGAAATTTGTTTCAATGCACTCAATTTTTGGTATTTCATGCAATAATATATATGGGATTTTTTTAGCATTCTTCTCATTTGCATAATTAATTGCTTTATATAAACAAATGCTGTAAATCTTTATTGTAGCCATTGTTCTGAACATGTATTTTCGGCATCTACTTTAAAAAGGAGTTTATTTTTTATTTTTTATTTTTAATGAATTACAATATGTAGGAAAAGAATATAGAAATGGAAAACAATACAATCTATATAATAAGAGAAGAGGGATTTTGAAAATATATAAATGTATGAGAGAGACATTTTAATGGCTGAGATTAATCCTAAATTTATGTCAATGGTTGAGATCAATAGATCTCCCGCCCAGGAATCTGTGATGGTTTCTGTCAATCTCTATATCTATCTCTCTCACTTTCTCCGTTGCTTTCTTCTTCAATTCAAACCCCACGTCTTTGAAACCCTACTGAATTTTCTTTGAATCTCATACATCTTCTCTTTCGATTTGTTTATCCATTCCCTATGCTACCTCTATAGGTTTTTAATTCTTCATTTCGATCCATACCTACTTTCCCTTTCTTTTCTCTCCCTCTCTCTCTAGCGATGTCTCTCTCTAAAATTTTGGCGGAGGAGTCTCTTCCGGTTGGGTACCGACTTCGCCCTACCGACGAAGAACTCATCAATCACTATCTGAAGTTGAAGATCAACGGCGATGAGAAGCAAGTCAGTGTTATTCGAGAGATCGATGTCTACAAATGTGAACCCTCGGAGGAGTCTCTTCCGGTTGGGTACCGATTTCGCCCTACCGACGAAGTACGCATCAATCACTATCTGAAGTTGAAGATCAACGGTGATGAGAAGCAAGTCAGTGTTATTCGAGAGATCAATGTCTGGAAATGCGAACCCTGGGATTTGCCTGGTAGAACTACCCATATAAAAAATTAAAAAATTAAAATTTTGGGTTTTTTGCTTTGATTATTGATATATACTTGATTAAAAGCCCTAATTTTGGGTTTGATTTGATCTATTTTTATGCAGATAAATCGGCGATAAAGACGAATGATGAAGAGTGGTTCTTTTTCTGTCCTAAAGATCGCAAGTATCAGAATGGGCATCAATTGAACAGAGTGACTGTGGCTGGGTACTGGAAGGCCACGGGTAAGGATAGTTCTATCAGGTCTCTGAGGAGAACCACTGTGATTGGCATGAAGAAGACTTTGGTTTTCTATGCGGGTCGTGCTTCGAATGGCCAGAGGACTAATTGGGTAATTCACGAGTACCGCGCAACTAGAATCCTGGGTAATCTAATGCTTCTACTTCCTGTCAATTTTTTTTTTGTATCTCTCCATCTTATTATCCAGGCTACAGTCCACGTCTAGGGGCTAATCTGAACCATTTGATAACTCTCAACTCAAAACCCAACCTAATATGGCTACCCATGGATAATTGCATAGGTGATAAAGTAAGTTCATTAACTACTTTATTAACCTAGATTGACTTATTGAAATGAGTATGGTGTGTGTTTTAGTACTGCTACTAGATACGAAAAGGATATATATATATATATATCAAACTCTCATATCTAACTTCCTCTTACTATATAAGAGAGTTATATTTATGTATAATGTAATTCTTGCTCTACTCTAGGGTATTCTGTTATGGTTATATATGCTACTTAAGTCCCGCAAGAATATATTTAGCACATCATCAACTCAAATATAGATAGATGAACGAGAAATAAACAAGAATTATGATTTTTTTTTTCCTTTTATTATTTCTGAACATCAGACAATGTAAAGAATGTCTCAATATATCATCAGTTTGATGGATTTCTGTCACTTGCCTCATCGCAGTTAAATTTGAAGGGTTCAATTAAAAGCAAATCTCTAAAAATACACCACCAAAAAGGGCAAAAAAAGGGCATTTCCTTTTTACACTTTTCTTCTCTTGGGGCTCAGTATAAAATCGTCGTCGTCATCACTATCCACGATTCTTTTCTTGGTTTTTACTTCGCCATTCTTTGACACCAGCTGTTGTTTTTTCGAACTCTCGGGTCTGCTGGGTGGCCGTGGTGGTGGAGATTTTATAGGAGTCCCCATCTGAAGTTGCTTTTGCTTCCTCTGCTTCTTCTCATATGCCTTCTTTGCTTTTTCCAGTGACAATATACTGTGTTCCATCATCCTGCTCATTGGCACGCGTTATCTCTAAAATTAGTAACTTTTCTTTTATGTTTTTATTTATTTGTTTTTTGATATGCTATCACTGTCATTATTAACTAAAAAAACTGAAATTTGATAAGAGTTCAAACTAATCATGATTGTTACACGTTTGCCATAATAATGCACTTTCGAGGTTTCAAACCAAGGTTTCAAACAGGGGAAGTTTATTCTACAGAGACTAAAATCAGATACAAAGAATAGATACAGGAAAATTACAAAATATGAAAATTTTAAGTTCATGTCCAGCAAATGGTGAAATTGACAAAATGCCCTTACCACTAAACCTACTAAACCTATGTTATGCTTTAATGTTCGTCTATTTACTCTTTTACTTTTTTAGTGGTTTTGATAATTATTTGTAATTATGTTTCTTTCTTTTGGTTTGTTCTATCAGAGGACTGTTCTTGCAAACCCTAACAAGAACAGAGTCTTTGATCATCGAACCATTTTCTGGTAATTATGGAAAGGGTCTTCATTTCTTTGACATTTGAGCCTTTGGGGACCTACATCGTGCTCTCTCTCTCTCTCTCTCTCTCTGGTGATTTTTGTTGATTTACATAAATAAGTATATGTGTGTTTGTGTGTGTGTGTCAAAAAATATACCTTTTTGTTATATAGGTTTGTTCGGAGATGTGTTTGATGAATTAGCTCTTCACACAACTATGTAACAATCTTTAACTACTACTTTTTTCGTGAACCGTATAGTTATATGTAAATGAGGTTTGTTGGTTTAATGCTGAATAATATTGGGGAGCAATCATATATGTATTGTTTAAATGTGTTTTCAAATATAATTGTTTATTTATTTATTTATTTTGGATATGCAATGATCTAAGACATAATTTTGGATGTGAAGAAGGCATGAACAAATGGAAAAAATGGGGAATTTCTTAAGTAGGCAGGAGGGTTTTTGAAAAATGTATCAAAATGTATCAATAGTTGAGATCAATCTAAGTATACCTACCAATCAATTCTTAACAATGGTCAGACACTGATTATTCTTTGTTTTTCCTTTTCCCCTCCCTTTTCTGTCTTTTGTTTCCTAGCTCTTTTTTATTTTTTAGATAACTGAATGAAGAATTCTGTTCGAAATCAAAATTACAGCATTGATAGGAAATTGATTGATTGGAATACAGGGAGAAACTGAGCCTAGGCGCAAAACACTTTTCCTGATGATGGTTTATCAGACAGACTTATGCCACTGGGACTCAAGTATATGTTCAAACTCCAAGGTTTATTTGGCAGCACAGCTCTCATTGTTCATTGTTGGTTTTCAAATAATTTCTTCTTATGTGTTTTTTTTTTAACTTTTTTAATTTCTTTTTTATTTTTTTTCAGTTGGCCTTCCATGTGTTTTGTATTAGCCACAACTGGTTGCATATGAAATGCTTGATAAAAAGATTCAGTTAGAAGGATCATTTGCTGACAGATGTATTATCATGTGCAACATGTCTCCTATTTGGAACTCTAAAACCTTTGTACACTTGAGAAAAGTCTAATTTCTATATTCAAATCCAAAGAAAAATCAAACACTAAATTTTCATTATTGATGAGTTTGTTTTTTAACTTTTACATTTGATTCATTGTTTCTAGATTTATAGATGTTCAATTAGGTGATTTTTGTGTAGTTAGTTCAGTTTATAGTTATAGTTATAGTTAGTTCAGTTTATAGTAATAGTGAGCTTTTGAACTTTTAAAAATTTGTAGTGGGTTTTGTAATTTTTAGAATTTCTGTTTTTGTTATGTTGTACACAACTTGAGACAATAAAGAGCCAAATAAATGGGAAAATTTCTAACCAGACTGAAACAAAGGTAATGTGAATACTGGAATTTACTGTCAAAATTAGTTTTTAAAGTCTCATTGTGGTATTTGTATTAATGAAATTGCCTATTTGTCGTGATTTGTTAACGGTCAACAGAAATATTAACTTGAAATTTTTGTTATTTGGTTTATAGTTGTGCAACTTGTTGTCACTAGAATGTGGTGTTAAACTTTTTGTCCATCTCCTTCATAACCTTAAGGGGCTTCAAGGTTATGTACATTTTTAAAGTTATTTTAGATTGTTTATGGGTCATTTAGATTGGGTTCCATACTGTTATTATTAGAATTTCATTCTCCCAAACTCACAAATTTTTGAATTAATCTAATACATTTTATTTGAATTCTATTCTGAAAAATCTAGAAATCCCCTAGATGTTGATTTGTGATTATGTATCAATTTTAAGCAGAATATAACAATCCCAATCAAACAATCAAGACAAAGAAACACAACGATTTTACGTGGAAAAAACCACAATTGGACACCTCCAACTGTGATAAAAAAAACCATGGGCAACAGCCACAAAACAATCCACTAAGAAGATTTAAAGGAATTACACAGGTATACTCTCAATTACCTAGCGAATCCACGCCTAATTGAACTAACCTCTATGTGCCTCTTCCAACCCGTCTTCACCTCGGAATTGTCTTTACGATGAGCCACCCCGGAATCCACCAAAGCTTCAGGCTCGAATTCTTCAGAATCCACCGAAGAACAACTCTCTCTTTTGTAGAACAAAACATAACCTTTGATGTACTCTCTTTAAACCATGAGTTGAATACTCAATAAAACATCAAAGAAAAACTCACAAAGTATCCCCAGATATAAACCCTAGAAACCAAAAAGAAGATCTGGAATTGTAATCCTAAAAACTGACCCAACACGCGAATTTATAGAATCTGTCCCGCGATCTCCGCTCGAGCGCCCAACAACCCGCTCGAGCGTCTTCAGCAAAATATGTGCGTGATATAACAGAGGTCCGCTCGAGTGCTAGAGAACCCGCTCGAGCTCAAAATTACACATCTCAGTACTTTTACAGGTGACCAAAACTTTTCTGAAAGCATTAGCATCACAAACTTCTCTGAAAGGCACAATTCAGGTTGGATTCGCATTTAAACACTCATAGTCTCACTGAAATAAAAGTGCGAATAAAATTACAACTCAAAGGAGTTTTGTCAAACGGGGTTGCCAAGAATAAAACCTAACACATTCTCCACAATTAATTACAACACCTCCTCCACAATTAATTAAACTCATCTCATTCTCTCTCTCACGGCTCATTTGTTTATTAAACCCATCCAAGCACCAAGAACTTTGTAATCCACCCGAGATATAATTGGATCTATATTTGAACTGGTAGGGTATTTGGGTTTGGATTTGTGATTTTCATTAAGTGATGACTCTCATTCATAGCTCAAACTTGAGCAACAATGGAGTTCAAATAGGAAGAGAGAGATGTAGAGGAAAAAAAGAGACAGAGCTCTCTGCTAAAAAAACCCACTTAGGTCTATTTGCTTTTTCCAAGAATAGTGTTGTTTTTATATTAAATTGATAATCTATATAATAAGGGAAGAAAGTTTTTGAAAATGTATAAAATGTATGTGAGATACATTTTGATCCAATGGCTGAGATTAATTCCAAGTTTATATCAATGGTTGAGATCAATTTTTTTCCCGCTCAAACCCTCTCTGCTCTCTCTCTCTCTCCCACGTCTGCCAAACACGTCTCTACAACTCCCTCTGTCTCTCTCTCTCTCGCAACTGTCCCTCTTATCTCTCTCTCACTCCTTGTTCTCCTGCTTTAACAGACCTTCCTCCTCAACGATAGGCGAAAGAGAGAGAACAGCAGCAACAGAGTCCCAACAAGCAAGAAAGTTGAATCGGAAGCTAATTCGACGGCGAGAAAAGTTTGGTCCCAATCCCAGACGAGAAGCTCTCTCCAAAACCCTCGCCATACCCGAAAGTAAAACCTCTCTCTCTGTTTTGTGGATTGGACTATCATATTATATAACTCTCTCTACAACCGATTCAGATCTTGCTGGGTTTGTAACAGAAGATTCATATTAAAATTCAGATCTTGCTGCTGAAAATAGTGAAATAATTATCATCATATAAATTCAGATTAAAATTTATCATCATATAAATTCAGATTAAAATAATTATTTCGCAAGATTCAGAGAGATTCAGAGTTATAATTTTAAATAACCCAAAAAACTTAAGCGGGAGAGAGATTACCGAAGACTCAGAGTTATCATCATATGATTATTACAAAGTGAGAGATAGAGATTACCGAAGATCTGAATTTATATGATGATAATTATTTCTAATTAGGCGAAATAATTTATAATGATAAATAACCCAAAAAACTCTAAATTATTTTGGGTTTGCTGATAATTTATAAGATCTGAATTTATAAATTATTTCTAATAGGTGGAATAGTTGCCTCCAGTATAGAACCAGGTAGCAATGCAGAACAGGTGCAGAATGGAAGGACGCATCAAAAAGAAGCAAACTCGCTTCATCAGGATCCTCAATACGAAAAGCAAGAATTAAAAACCGCCCTGTTGTTGATGTCTAATGGGAGCAGTATGCATTGGGTACGGCCTTTATATACATGTATTTCATATTTGTTGACACCTACGTAAACACAATCTTTGCTTGAAATGCGGTTACAACATTTTTACTTATTTATTAATGAATCATCTTATGTGTTCGCAGGTCATTAAGATGGTTATGAAAATGGATGCTGTTGAGCCCTTCAATATTCCAGTGGATCCTGTTGCCCTGGCAATACCTGTAAGTGTAACTTCTTTATAGATGCTTCTCATGTGTATTATTTTAGGAACATGCTGCTAACTTTAAATTTATGGCCACTGAGAATTTCGGGTGCAATATATTTGAACCTAAATGGTTTGGAGGAAACAACTTTCCGAACATTTTGGAGTGGGTTTTATGTTGGTTAGCTCATCATTTGGGGGAGCAGAGTGGAACGTTTTTTTTTCCCATTCAATGCTTTTTGTCTTTTTTAAGAGTTAGGTAGGTTAGTTATGAAGACTTGGGAGTTTATTACGTAGGATAGAAGAGCAATGCATGGGTTGTTTCTCTATGTTTGAAGTATCATGTTCCTTTTTTCAATTACTGAAAGTGGAAAGTTCAAGGATTGATGGGGATAAGACTTCAAAGTCGAAAGCTTTGGTTGATTCAAAGAGTAAAAGTAGTAAAAAGCATGATGGTGGTGGTGGTGAGAAGATTGAATCAAGTGGGGGTTTAGTGGGAGAGAAAGAAAACAGTAAGAGTAGCAGCAAAGTTAAGGATTCTAAGAGTAAGAGTAAGAGTAAGAGTAGCAGCAAAGTCTGAAAAAGATTTGGGGCGAAAAGATAAGAATTCAAAGGAAAGGAACGTGTGTTGGAGAAGAAGATTTATGAAACAGAGGTAACTGTCGATGGTGAAGAGCGACAAGGCAAACGTGGTAGAGAAAATACGGGTAAGGTAACTAATTGTTGTGTTTTTAGTCGATTGATGATTTGGATTGATGGTGGTGTTGTTGGTGTTGTTTTGTTTGTTCATTTTTTCACTATATAAAGAAAAAATCTATAATCAGGCATAATTGAGATTGTAAATAGCCTGTTGACACAAAGAAAATATAGCAATGGGATTGCTCTGCATCTTCTTTGATTTGGAAATTGCAGAGATTAAGACCTGTGTTTGTTTTTAAATGTAACAAGTCAATGAGGAAGTCAACAATAGTACCTTGTGAGTTTGTGTGAAGATATGCTTAGAAGTATGCAGCATGATTTAATCTTTACTACACACACACCAATACAGAGAGGGAGATCGTATGTACATATATAGATATTTTATTGAATTTTATAGATATTTTGTGGTTCAAGATCAACTGGATTCGTTCATTTCTAGGTTTGATTTTCATTCTCTGGCATTTAAATTCGCTTCTGTAACTAGAGATTTGAACAATTCTATGGAGTTATTCATTTTTCCTTTAATTCTGAATTGAGTTTACATGATCAGATAGTGTTTTATGAATCTGGATCTGGGTCTTTTCTTGATTTCATGGTAATTGACTAGAAAATAAAAAAATTTAAGAATTTCATTGTCTTAGCTCTCAATATTTTAGCTTAAAATTTAAAAAATCAAAAAAGAAATTTAAAAGTAAATGACCTATACCAAAAAATAAAAAGAAAAAAATTTCTCTATATTTTGTACAATTTTTCATAAAAAATTAAAAAGTTATTCAAAATATATTATTTTTTTACCTTATATTTTAATAAAAAAAATTAAAAATTATTAAAATAACTGATTCCAAACCAGGTCTAATATCCTTTAAAAGTTTATTTATTTATTTATCTATTTGTGCATTTATTTTTTGTAGATGAGTTTTTGAATTGACCCGTTAGGTAATATTTAATTGGCTTAGTTATGTGATTGCCAAGGAACCCTGCAACTGTGTAATATTCTTTTTCTTTCTCCCATATATTTTTATTCTAGGATTGCCAAAAGGTTTACAAAACAATAAGTTGAAAGTTGTGCTTAGCTCTGTACTTATTCCATAGTTGATCCTTTAGCTATTGGTTGACATTGTGTCATGCATTTTATATCTGTTTGAAAATTGAGTACGTTGTGATTTCTGAAATGGGTTTGATGGGTTTTGATTTCTGAAATTTGAAATGGATTTGATGGGTTTAATTCGCAAAAATTCAAAGTTAAATGGATTTCTAATAATTTGATTTCTAATTTCTAATAATTTGTCTTCCCAAAGCAAATGCAGAGAGATGGTGAAATTATAAGTCTCTAATTTTAATTCGGTGTAAGCTATTTTAATTGTTGTGGTTGGAGTGGTTGTGATTTCTGAAATAGGTTTGATGGGTTTTGATTTCTAATACTTTGAAATGGATTTGATGGGTTTAGTTAAATTTGTATGAAACAATAATATTAGGAGTCAATAACTCAAAACACACCCACACAAATATGAAACAACATTTGATGATAAAGAGGATTACATGGTATTCTTATGTGTTTGATTTCTACTTTCAACTAGAAATTTATTGCTCTTATTGCAATCATGGTATTCTTCTTCCCATAAAATTGTTGATTTGTAGGTATATGATTGATATCCTCTGTGGTTGGAGTGGTTGTGATTTCATCCATAAACTATTTTGGTTTGTAGGAAATTATCATCCAGCAGCTTGCTATAGGTATGATTTGTAGGTATATGATTGAACACAATAAAAATACTTTTTATTGTTATTTTGTTGGTCATGTGTTAATGATGAAATAAAAAAAAAAATCATACCTACAATTTGATGAATGAATGTGTTAATAGTTAGGATTTGTATGGTCAAGTTAAACAACCATGGCTTTAAATTTTTATTTTGTTAATTGTTAGGATTTGAATCTTTTTCAGTTAATTGATTTTGAAATTCTGTTAATCGATTTTTTTTCTTTTTCATGTTATCCCGTTACCTTTCTTTTGTTATTATAAACCTTTCTTTTGTTATTATAAATTTTTCTTTTGTTTAACGCCAACCAGGTGTAGCATACCTAATTGAAATCTGTATTAGAAAGGTAACAGGATAACTTTAAATTTGAAACTCTTTTTAATTATTTGAAGCAGGTAATTTGGATTGGAGGGTGGTTGCATAACTGAAGACCTCAATCTTCTGGACACATCAGCAATACTGCACATGGAACCAAGTAATCAACTTGATTTCTATTTACCTAATTAGTTTTGTGTTCAGTAGAGAAACATAAATTTACTGTTTTTTGATATTGTCAATTTCTTTTTGTGCTGCTGCTTCTTCTCATGTTGCCAATTTATAAATGTAAATTTTTTCTCTTTTGTGATTTGTTAAGATTTTTATTGGCTTTGAACATGAATTTAGCCTATTTTCTAGCTTCTAAATGAATTTCAATTTTTTCCACCTAATTCCCAAATCATAATATCTTGATGAAGTGACACACACACAGGTATATGATAGCTACACACAAGTGTGGCATCTCCAATGGTTATTGCAACATGGTACAAATGTATTTTTTTTTTAACCACCATATGATTCAATCTACACCGTACAACGTGTTTATCCGTGTCTAAATGTAAATTCTGAAATTGGAAAAATAACAACTATGTAAATTTTAGGCAAAATGTCAACTGATCAAATGTGATAAAATTTGGCATTTTGCTACACTTGGTGCCCAAATATACTACAATGCCAAATTTTGGCACACCATTGGAGCGGTTTTTCTTCTATGCTCAAATCCCAAATTTTGGCTTTGGTGTGAGGTTGTGCATACAATTGGAGATGCTCTTATTTGCATCATATTAAGAATGGAGAACGTTAGGAGATTATGGTAAGTTTTACATGGCCATCAGTGAAATTATTTTTTCCCGTTTGTGGAACATATCAATGAAAACCATTTATTTTCCATGCCTCAATTGAAAGCACTGATAGGAAGAGCTGAGTAGCTGAAATTGAAATTTGGTTCTTTGTTAGGCATATACTTCACATTCATCATTTCATGATATGTAAGCCTAACAAGACTGATCAACTCTGCTGTCAATTTATCTGAGTAAAATATTTGTTTGATTTATCGATGTGTACTCCACAGGAAATGATGCACATGCAAATAAAAAATTGCTAAAAATTTACCAAATAGGTTTTTGTTTTCAAGCTTCTTTTTTTCTCCTTCCTTGAAAGTTCAAACATTTAGTTTGGATGTGCTTTGATTGTTGGAAAACTTTGTTCTTTACCTGCTTGCAAAACTTTTTGTTTTATTGTTGACGGTAAATGAAAGAACAGAACAACAACTTAAAGATCGCATAAACACGTAATTAAACTAAAATAAAACTATTTGGGCCTTAATTGAATTTCATTTGAAAACTCGCCTATGTTCTTATAAACTTTGATTTCAAATCGCTTCATTTGATTGGAAACTCTCACAGCTTCTGTGAACTTAGATAGATGTTTTTGAGTTTGTTTCATGGTGGGTCACCAAAGCTCAACAATGGTTGTTTGCCTATGCCATTTTCTTGGTATAGAAACAGGAATTTTCAGATTGAAGGCATAATTCCATCTCTATAATTGATAATTTATTTTTAAGACAAGAGTTGGGATTACAATTATATTCTAATCCCAACATTATTTACACCGTGCCTTCAGGCACGGGTATACGCTAGTCTAGTAATAAAACTCAAAGTGTCACTTGATAAGGGAGTGTCTTATTGTAGAAAATACTTTTTGATAGGGCTTAGGCCTTTTTTTGCAAAGAGGTTAAAAACAACTATTTAGCTTTTAATCTTTCTTGGGCCATATCATCTCTCTATTTTTTTTATATTTTTTTAAAAAAAATGTCAAAAAGTTAGCTTTTAATCTATTTTCCAAAAAAATTGTATGAGTAGATCGAATTGAGTTTTATTTTTAAATTTTTATTTAAAAGTAAAAGTCACTACAAATTCTATAAAATAGCAAGTCATGATTTTCAAAAATTAGTTTGTTAGAATTTTATATGTATTTAATTTTGGATAGTTTGATGACAATATAGAACAAATCTCTATTTTTATTTTTTTCTTAAATGAAATTTTAGTGAAAATATTACATTATTTGACAGTGTTTGTGTCAATTTCCGACCACACTACCAATCAAGCACTCAGCTGGAGAACACTAGCAGAATAGATTAAGCCCGAACAACCTATCACAAAAAGAAGAGATTCCAGCGGTGGTTCGTCCACCCGGAGGCACTCTGACGATCAAGTCAGTTATCTCTCAAAAATAGCAAAAGTGCTTAACTCACTATTTAGAGCATAAAAAGCATACCTTAGACCTATGGAGGTGTCTCCCTTTTATATAGCCAACACAATCCTAGTCCCAATAGAAGCCTAGCTCTAATGGACTTAGTATTACTGCTAATCTTGAACTCCCAGTAGGATTAGGATAAACTCTCTAAGATAGGGATGGCAATCTGAAACTGGCCTGACAGCGACCCGATCCCCCGACCCCGAATTCAGTGGTTATTCACCGAAAAATATCCCTTACGGGTCGGGGATGGTATTCAAAAATTCATCCCCGATGATATCCGGGCCGGGGACGGGGATAGGTGTTTCAGACCCGGACCTGGCTCGACCCCGGCCCCGGTCCGCTTAGTCCCCGAGGTAAAATTACCGTTTTGTCCCTGGATACATATATGCTTGTATTTGTTTAGGGTTTGACACAGACACACACACACTCAGCCTCTCACTCACACACGACGCTCCTCTCTCTCTCTCTCGCTCGCCACTGGTCTCTCTCTCTTTCTTTCTTCTGTCACCGTCGCGCCTCCCTCCTCACCGGCGATCCTCCGTCACCACC